TGCGCACGACACGGGCGCCGCATAGGGTGCCGTTTCATGTAATCTCATAGATCAGCGTGCGACTAGCGACCTGACACATGCAGGCTAATAGTGCTCAGAGTATAGAAATAGGCTTGCCTTCTGTATGTGACTCATACCTGGCGAAAAGTAGGTCTTGGAAGCTGTATTATACTAAAGTGAACAATAAAATAAATATTTGAGTATTCCTCCATCTAAAAGTTTAAAGTTTAAAGTTTAAAAGTTAAATCTAGGCTACACATCTACTGGGTGCCCAACATACTGGCCTTCTGATCCAAAAAAGAAACCAGACCTGGTAGACTTTTTTATTACCAAAGGTCTTTCTAGTTTGGCTTTGCTTTGCCACCCTACTTATGACCTATCTTCGGACCACACAGCCATTATAGTGAAGCTCCAAAATGACCTCGTGGAAGTTGTCAGACCCTGCAAACTGCACTCAAGGAACACCAATTGGGAACTTTTTAGGGAAATTGTAGAAAATTCACTTAACGAACGCGTTCCTCTCAAATCGGACGAGGACATTACAGCAGCAGTAGAGATCTTTAACCAATGCGTTCAATCGGCTGCTTGGGATGCCACTCCGCTCAGACGAGCTGTGAATACGATTCCCTTGTATCCGCAAATCGTTACGGATATAATACAAAGAAAACGACGCGCAAGGAAACTATGGCAACAAACTCGACACTCTAGTGACAAGAAAATACTAAACCATCTAACAAAGCAAGTGAAAAATATCCTCTTGACGATAAAAAACAAAAACCTGGAAGATCGTCTGTCTAAAATGGATGCAACATCTGCTACTGATTACTCGCTTTGGAAAGTGACCAAATCTCTGAAAGGACCAATTGAGTTCCAATCACCTTTACGACGGGATGACGGTTCTTGGGCTAAAAGTGACACAGACAAATCCACACTATTTGCAGAACACTTGTCTAGAGTGTTTACTCCAAATCCAAGTACGGGTTCAACAAAGGTGGGTGAAGTAATGGAGGCTCTTTCAGCACCGCACCAACTTGCACTCCCAATCAAAAAATTCACTAAAGAAGAGGTTACATCTGTAATCAGGAAACTCAACCTGAATAAAGCGCCTGGTTATGACCTTGTTACATCTAAGGTGATGAAAGAACTCCCTCACAAAGCAATAACCCTATTAACAGCTATTTATAACTCAATCTTAAGATATGAATACATCCCTGCTCAATGGAAAGTAGCAGAAATTATTGTCATTCCAAAACCCGGGAAGGATCCGGAAAATGTATCATCATATCGACCGATAAGTCTCCTGCCTGTTGCCTCAAAAATAATGGAAATTCTTATCTTAAAACGACTGACTCCAGAGCTTGCGAAAGCCAAATTAATCCCTACTCATCAGTTTGGCTTTCGCAAAGCTCATGGGACAATTGAACAAGTGCATCGGTTGGTTGAAAAGATAAACCATGCCTTTGAAAACCAGAAATACTGCTCAGCGGCATTCTTAGACATATCGCAAGCCTTCGATCGTGTGTGGCACGAGGGACTCTTATTTAAAATCCTACAAGCCTTACCAATCAACTTCTATCTCATCATCAAATCATACCTCCAACAACGACATTTCTATGTAAAACATGGAGAAGCCAGAAGTAATCTTTATAAAATCCAAGCAGGTGTTCCTCAGGGCAGCGTAATGGGTCCTATCTTATACCTAATATATACTTTTGACCTACCAACTTCCGACGACGTCCTCATAGGGACATTTGCTGATGATACTGCTCTTATTGCAGCACACGACTGTCCCGTGGCAGCGTCCGACATGCTGCAAAAAAGCCTTAATGACGTTTCGGCCTGGTTAAAGGATTGGAGAATAAAAGCTAATGAATCCAAATCTGTTCACGTAACTTTCACTCTCAGACATGCATCATGTCCCCCAGTTGTTTTCAATAGCATAACAATTCCTCAGTTGGACGACGTGCGATACTTGGGAATATACTTGGACAGACGATTAACTTGGAAGAAACATATATTCACCAAAAGGAAAGCCCTAAGTACACAACTTCGAAATCTCTACGGGCTCATGGCACGAAAGTCAAACCTGTCACTAAGCAACAAACTTCTCCTCTACAAAGCTATATTAAAACCAATATGGTCATATGGAGCAGAACTCTGGGGAACGGCAGCCAACTCAAACTTGGACATTTTACAACGCTTTCAATCAAAAATGCTTCGAATGATTGCAAATGCCCCATGGTACATAAGTAATACCCAATTACACCGAGACTTAAAAATAAGATCAGTGAAGGAGGAAGTCACAAGCAAACTGAAGTCGTATTCTCGCCGCATAAGGAGTCACCCCAACGAGCTTGCTAGTGAGCTTATGAAGTCTGCCAGCACCTTTAAACGCATCAAAAGGAGAGCTCCACAGGACCTACTCCTGTCTCAGCAAAAATATCCAACTCGAGGGATGCAATAATTGAAGACGGGTACACCACTGGGCGTTCTCCGTACATGTCACAATACATAACCTCTTGACCACCAGTTAAATGCCCAACTGGGCAGATTGCAGGGAAATAAGGAGATTTAAAAAAAAAAAAAAAAAAATCTAAAAGTTGCTAGTGTAGTTGTAATTGCTAATTTTAAATATTTCTAATTATATAAGTATACAGGTAAATGATAATTTGTTTTGCAGGTACGGAGCTAAAGGGTCACCTCCAGTCATCCCACCAAACTCAACTCTAGTATTTGAAGTTGAACTGAAGAATGTGAAATAAGTGAAATGTTAATGAATGTGCCAGTATGTTGAGAACTTGTTGATTTGCTTTAATTGAATGTTTATTGGAAGGTTGACATTGAATGCATGATTGTTGAAACAGTTACAATGTGCTCTATCTGCAATAAGTTTATATTGTGTGAATTAGAAGAGGAGCAACATATTGTGTAACATAATGATATACACTTTCTTCAATCATATTTTGTTTTTCATATGAAAAATATTTTTATTCTGAAACTACACAATTGTTATTCTATTGAACCTTAGTAAAATATTGCAGGTATACCACATTGTTGACTACAGTGTAAGTTGTCTTTTAAGTTAGTTCATAAGGATTTTACTGGACATGATAACTTAAATTCAGCTGCAGAGTTTAAACATTATACTTCCACAATAATTAAGTTTCTGAAAAATATCCTGTCACTTTTTTACCCACTCTTTTGAATATCTATTTCTGTTTGAATATCTATTTCTGATAAAATATCCAATTAATTGATTTTTTTTTATCAAAATACCAACAGAATGAAGCAACAGTGATGTAAATGTGTAACATCTATTTGTTTAGATAGTTTTTAATTCCGACTATTACTAAATAAGATTATTTTACTAAGGCCTGATTTTTCCAATGCCAGATAAATTTTTAACTGATGAATAGCTTTGAACATTTGACAATTCTTTCATACTAAAAACTGTCAAATGTCAATTTTATTCTACAATAAATAATTCATGATTGAAAAATAGGCCATAAGAAGTTTTTCAGAAGACTTTCTGTAGTAAACCAAGTAAACTAGTATGCATTATACATGTAAGAGTAAAGATGTGTTTGAATTTCATAACAAACTAGAGAATCAGAAGAAATTTAGATTAGTTCATGATACAGATAATGTGCAAGAATGATGAACTAGTTTTAGGACCAGCATAGTGAACTACTCTTTGTGCTCTGCATGTATTCTACAGACTGTGGTTAGACTAAGGTACTGCAATCAATCAAAATATTGTGAAATAAAAGTCAAGAAGTCTATGAATTGTTTTATTTCAGACCTTTTATTTTTAAAAGATTGAAGGACAAAGTATAATGTTAGTAGTTTTAAACTAAATTGCCCAAGTTAGTAGTTCAATCATAACAAAACAAAAATATATTTACATTTTTTTTCAATGTTATTTTATTAGTTGATAAATGCCAAATGAAATACACAATAACATGCTGGTTACAAAACCATATAAGCTAAGTTTTAAATAATTTAAGTAAAATATTTCTCATAACCATATTAGTCCGTTTTGATCCTATTCGGTGGCTCCGCGGTGTTATTGAGATCTTGTTGATTTGCATCATTGTCCTTGGTTATTTTTTCATCTTTCTTTCTGCTAAATGCGCATACTCCACCTTCGCATTTGAATGGAAATTCAGTTTTTACATTACCGTCTGCATCTTTCACCGCCCATGGGTTCCAGAACCGTAAAACATACGGCTGAATGAACTTGTGCCAAAGGAACAATAATACAGGAATGACGAAGCAAGGCACACAAACCATTTTCGTTGATTCAAATAGATTTTGATTACAGAACTTGATGAATGTCTCTATAATGAAAACCTGTCAGGATTGTTGATAACGACGTCTTTATATTTTTAAAGAATTTATAAAATAGTTACAAAATTACGGAAATGTTGATGACATTTTCTATTTGACAAATTTTAATGAAAATGTGTGAGTGACGTAGAAATCGGACTTTATTATTATGACACTGACACATTTATTGACGGCCCCGGTCTAGTCTATGGTGCATAGACGTGACGATTGAAATGAACAATCACTAAACGAAACCCCTTTGCATCGTTCATTTGTTCGTAAAGTTAACATGTTACGGTTAGGCCATTTTAATACATAAAATAATAATGAATACGTTAACTCCATTTCTAAATGACTCCTAAAATTTATTGAAATGTGGTTTGATTTAGGGCAAGTCCTGTAGGGTTATAGTAGTTTACCTTTGAAAGGTTTTTTATAAAATATACAAGTAGATGTCTTAATATTTAATAGTACATAAACATATCTTTTAAATTTATAGTAATATATATTTCTGTAATATGTATTATAATTTTGATGAAGAACTACCGAGTGAAGCATAGCAACATTGGTTAATTAAAATCAATAACTCCCGTTTGTGTATGTATAACAAAAACATATCAGTGCAGTGAGTGTAAAACTGCGATATAAGAAAAGGGTGCAAAAATAACAAAATGAATTTATTATACACCATACCACAATTATGTACAGATTTTGTGTCAGGGAGGTGCGTACAAGGCCCCTATTGCAGATTTCGCCACAAATTGTTTACAGAACGTTTAAGTGATTTTGTGCAAATTTGTCAGTTTAATAACTTTTGTACGTGGAAATACTGTAATTGCCTACATATAACAAGAGACGAGGAGAATCTCTTCAGAAATCAAGGAATTATACCTTCAGAACTAGCTGCCAGGTACAGATCTATGCTTTCAGTTCTAATGCATAAATTTAGTTGGAAATATGTTGAGCAAGAGACGTCTCTGCTTAAAATGGTATCTGCAGGACCACCACAAGAACCAGTGAACTACCCGCAACAGGTACCTATGCAATATTTTACGCAAACTTCACTTCCGGCGCCGTCACCCTGGACTCCAATAAACAGTGCTGCATACCCGCAACCGGTAATGACAGTAGTCGATGCGATACAACCACAATATCCATTTCCACCGCCACCATCGTTACCTCGGATTGCGAGTCGATGTGACAAAATGAATACAGCCGTAACACAAGCATCTCCGTCCATACCGCCTTCATCATTTTTTGGAGGCACACGGAAAAGATGCAATGAACCAATTCGACCAGGAACATCTGCACAGCTACCAACAATGAGTGTAGTACAAACACCAGCGACAGTTTTACCACCACCTCAATCGGCACCCTTACCACTTACTGTAAATAGGAATTTAAGTGCTTTTACGAATTCCTCTAATTTAGAGCCTGATGATGATAATAAACGAAGAAAAATCGTACAGCAATTGCCAACAGCAGATTCACAAAGGTCATCAATAATGAATGCTTTACGAGAACTACCAAAAACTCAACCAACTGCACAAACACCTCCGCGGCCGCAACAGTGGGCTAGAAATACTATGAATACGACAAGGATGTGTGAGGGCTCTGATTTTGTCGCTACAGAAGTAAAATTCGATCGGAAACCGCCAACAATAACTTCACGAAGATCATCAGTAACAAACATGGCACGAGAAATACTTACAACTCCATCACCAAAATCATTGACCATAAGTACTACAATTGCTAACGAGACGAGTAAGGGCCCCGTTTTGGTAGCTACAGAAGTTAATACCCAAAGAAAACCGCCAACAATAAGTTCACGCAGATCATCAGTAGTGAGTGTAGCACGAGAACCACTTAGACCCCCGTCACCACCTCCGTCACGACAATCATTGACGACAAGCACCATGATATCTAACAAGATGAGCAAAGGCTCTGAATTGGTGGCTACAAAAGTTAATACCGAATGGAAACCGCCAACAATAAGTTCACGAAGATCATCAGCAATAAGTGTATCACGAGAACCATCAACAGTTCCTTCATCACAATTATTGACCACAAATACGATGACAACGGAAAAGGTAAGTAAAGGCTCTGATTTAGTAGCTACAGAAGTTTATACCCAAAGAAAACCGCCAACAATAAATTCACGCAGATCATCAGTAATGAGTGCAGCACGAGCATCACTTAGAGCTCCGTCACCACCTCCGTCACAACAATCATTGACGGAAAATACCATGTTTTCTAACAAGATGAGCGAGGGCTCTAATTTAATAGCTACAGAAGCTAATATCCAACGGACACCGCCATCAATAAGTTCGCGCAAATCACCAGTAATGAGTGCAGCACGAGAACCACTTAGAGCTCCGTCACCACCTCAGTCAAGACAATCATTGACGGGAAATACTATGATTTCTAACAAGATGAGTAAGAGCTCTAATTTAGTAGCTACAGAAGCTAATATCCAACGAACACCGCCAACAATAAGTTCAAGCAGATCATCAGTAATGAGTGCAGCACGAGAACCACTTAGAGCTCCGCCACCACCTTCGTCACAACAATCATTGACGGGAAATACTATGATTTCTAACAAGATGAGTAAGGGCTCTAATTTAGTAGCTACAGAAGCTAATATCGAACGAACACCGCCAACAATAAGTTCACACAGATCATCAGTAATGAGTGCAGCACGAGAACCACTTAGAGCTCCGTCACCACCTCAGTCAAGACAATCATTGACGGGAAATACTATGATTTCTAACAAGATGAGTAAGGGCTCTAATTTAGTAGCTACAGAAGCTAATATCGAACGAACACCGCCAACAATAAGTTCACACAGATCATCAGTAATGAGTGCAGCACGAGAAACACTTAGAGCTCCGTCACCACCTCCGTCACGACAATCATTGACGGGAAATACCATGATTTCTAACAAGATGAATGAGGGCTCTAAGTTAGTAGCTACAGAAGCTAATATCCAACGTATACCGCCAACAATAAGTTCAAGCAGATCATCAGTAATGAATGCAGCACGAGTACCACTTAGAGCTCCGCCACCACCTTCGTCACAACAATCGTTGACGGGAAATACCATGATTTCTAACAAGATCAGTAAGGGCTCTGATTTAGTAACTACAGAAGCTAATATCCAACGGACACCGCCAGCAATAAGTTCACGCAGATCATCGATAATGAGTGTAGCACGAGAAACACTTAGAGCTCCGTCACCATCTCCGTCGCCACAGACATTGAAGACAAATACCGTGATTTCTAACAAGATGAGCAAGGGTTCTGATTCGGTGGCTACAAAAGTTAATTCAGAATCGAAACCGCCAATAATAAGCTTACCAAGGTCATCAGCAATGAGTGTACCACGAGAACCACCTACAGTTCCGTCATCACCATCATTGACTACAAATACCATAACTACAAAAAAGGTAAGTAAAGGCTCTGATTTAGTAACCACAGCAGTAAAAACCAACCAGAAACCGCCAATAATAAGTGCACGAAGATCATCAGTAATGAGTGAAGCACGAGATCTACCTTAGATATGAGCGCCGGTATTTGATAAGTCGGCGGCGGCGCGCCGACTAAAAACAGTCGGCGGCGGCGGCGCAGTCGGCGGCGCGACCATGGCAGTGAATCTAGTGCGAGGGAAGAAATGAAATGCCACTGTTTTCTGTTACTTATTGCTTTTAATTATATCACAGTGAATTAAACATTTTTGAGACAAGAAACAAAGAGATCTATATTTTGTTATATCTATTAAACTTTTTTGACGAAATAATTAACTACCTATTCTAATAACATTTGCAAGTACAAATAATCAACAATACCAACAAATTTAAATAATAATAAAACAATACAGAGGTATATAACCTAAGAAGCTACACAAGCTAAGCTATTGATAAGGTTTTTTGGCAATTGAGTCCAGGTACACTACAGTAGTTGTAGGTACACATAATTACAACTTAATCATAGAGCCCACACTTACAATATGTAGCAAAATAATAGATAAGAAAAACGAAACAAAAAGTTTAACGAAAATTATGCATCGAGTAATCAAACAAGCAAACTAAATATCAGCTTTGCACTGGGTGTAATTGTCATGAATGAATATAATACGATTTACTCTCAAAGGATTTAGTCGGGATCTTTTAGCCGTTATCAATTGTCCAGCGACGGAAAATACTCTTTCGCTTGGGGTACTTGTCGCTGGGACGAATAGTACTGCACGCGCCAAACTTGACAACCACGGAAATGATTTATTTCGTTCCTGCCAATATTCAAGTACATTATCTTTATAGGCCTGAAGATCTGCGGGCGTAGCTGTGCTAAAATATTTCCAGCACTCGGTTTCGATTATGCTGTCTATGTCAGCAGAGTTGACAGAAGTGCTGTGTCTTTTTGCTAGGTTCATGAAGAAAGATGAAGATGGTTTCGAAGTACTGGGTCCAGGAGTTGCATCTTGTATTATATGCTCCTGGACAATATCTCCATTTTTCAAAGTAGTTTTTGCATAAGTAGATAAAAATGTAACCTTGGTGGTTTGGTGTTGTTCCATGTAAACGTCAATATCTTTGATAGATTGGAATCTGCAATCTAATAACGTGGCAGCTATATCAGGTCTGTGCAAGGAAAGCGGTAATCTAATTTGGGACATGTTATTTTTTAACATTGTTATATCAGTGCCGGCTCATTGTCATCACATTCATCTAGTATTCTCCTTATTTCTGACTTGAAAACCAACGCTAAATTGATCGTAGTTTGCGAATCTGAACTCATCATTTCCACTATTGTTTTCCTCCAACGTTCACAATTAACTGACCGAAATAATTCCAACAAAAACTGTGTTTGTTGGTGGATATTTTATTTAAAACAGTTACGGACAGCTCCCTTATTTTAGTTTTTGTAACCTCTATCTCTTCTGTCGACATTTTGTACTTATTTTATAACAAATAATACGCGCGGGCGTAGCGAACAGCGGGAGCGAACTGAGTTTTGCCAGCCGGCCGGCGCGCCGTCCGCTTCCTTCGGCGGCGGCGGCGGGGTGGTAAAGCGCGGCGGCGGCGGCGCGCCGGCGCGGCGCTCATATCTAATCTACCTACAGCTCCGTCACCACCTCCGTCGCCACAGACATTGACGACAAGCAACATGATTTTTAACAAGATGAGCAAGGGCTCTGATTTGGTAGCTACAAAAGTTAATACCGAATGGAAACCGCCAATAATAAGTTCACGAAGGTCATCAGCAATAAGTGTACCACGAGAACCACCTAGAGCTCCGTCCCCACCTCCTTCGTCACAGACATTGACGGCACAAACAATTTCTAACCAAATGAGTATAGACTCTGATTTATTGGTTACCGAACTGAAATCGCTAACAATAGCTTCACCAAAATCACCAGTAATGAGTATAGCGCGAGCGTCACCTTTTACTTCACCACAAGTAGCTCCACCTCTACCTCCACCTCCGCCACCACCTCTACCACCGCCTTCGTCACCTCAATCATTGATGACGACTTCTAATTCAACTGATCCTTGTTTTATAGCCACAGAAATAAAAACCGAACCGAAATCGCCAACGACAGTTTCACCAATGTCACCAGCTATGAGTGTAGCGCGAGCGTCACCTTTAACTTTACCACAAGTAGCTCCACCTCTACCTCTACCTCCACCTCTGCCATCACCTCTACCACCGCCTTCGTCATCTCAATCATTGATGACGACTTCTAATTCAACTGATCCTAATTTTATAGCCACAGAAATAAAAACTGAACCGAAATCACCAACAACAACTTCACCAAGGTCACCAGCTATGAGTGTAGCGCGAGCGTCACCTTTAATTTCACCACAAGTAGCTCCACCTCTACCTCCACCTCCGCCACCACCTCTACCACCGCCTTCGTCACCTCAGATGACGACTTCTAATTCAACCGATCCTAGTTTTATAGCCACAGAAATAAAAACTGAACCGAAATCACCAACGACAACTTCACCAAGGTCACCAGCTATGAGTGTAACCCGAGCGTCACCTTTAACTTCACCACAAGTAGCTCCACCCCTACCTCCACCTCCGCCACCACCTCTACCACCACCTTCGTCACCTCAATCATTGATGACGACTTCTGATACAACCGATCCTAGTTTTATAGCCACAGAAATAAAAACTGAACCGAAATCGCCAACAACAGATTCACCAATGTCACCAGCTATGAGTGTAGCGCGAGCGTCACCTTTAACTTTACCACAAGTAGCTCCACCTCTACCTCCACCTCCGCCTCCACCTCTACCACCGCCTTCGTCACCTCAATCATTGATGACGACTTCTAATACAACCGATCCTAGTTTTATAGCCACAGAAATAAAAACTGAACCGAAATCGCCAACAACAGATTCACCAAGGTCACCAGCTATGAGTGTAGCGCGAGCGTCACCTTTAACTTCGCAACAAGTAGCGCCACCCCTACCTCCACCTTCGCCACCACCTCTACCACCACCTTCGTCGCCCCAATCATTGGTGGCAACTTCTAATTCATACGACCCTAGTTTTGTAGGCACAGAAGTAAAAACTGAACCGAAATCGCCAACACCAGCTGCACCAAGCTCACCAGCAATGAATGTAGCGGGAGTGTTACTTTTAACTTCACCACAAGCAGCTCCACCTCTACCTCCACCTCCGCCATCATCTCTACCACCACCTTCGTCACCCCAAACAATGGTGACAACTTCTAATTCATCCGACTCTAATTTCATAGGCATTGAAGTAAAAACCGAACCGAAATCGCCAACAGCAGCTGCACCAAGCTCACCAGCTATGAATATAGCGGGAGTGTCACCTTTAGCTTCATCACAAGTAGCTCCATCTCCACCTCTGCCACCACCCCTACCACCACCTTTGTCACCTCAATCATTGATGACGACTTCTAATTCATCTGATCTTAGTTTTGTAGGCACAGAAATAAAAACCGAACCTAAATCGCCAACAACAGATTCACCAAGGTCACCAGGTATGAGTGTAGCGCGAGTGTCACCTTTAACTTCATCACAAGTAGCTCCACCTCTACCTCCACCTCCACCACCACCTCTACCACCACCTTCGTCGCCCCAATCATTGATGGCAACTTCTAATTCATCCGACTCTAGTTTTGTAGGCACAGAAATAAAAACTGAACCGAAATCGCCAACAAAAGCTTCACCCAGGGGACCAGCCATAAGTGTAACACGAGCGCTTCTACTAGCTATCAAACGCAAGATAGAGGAAGAACCAATGTCATCAACGACGGATGCACAAATGTCGTCTGAAATTGTCGCTTCAAAACGATTTAAAATTGGAAGTATATCAGAAGAGTCATTAACAGCAGCGATAGGGAATGAGGCAAACATTTCACAAACTTTGGATAATTATAGATTACTAACATCTGAAACATCTACATCACCAGAAATAGTAGCATCGATACCTATGGAGACATCAATGGACGTAGCATCTCATATGGAATCACCAACACCGCAGAGCGTGCCGCCACTTACATTAACACCGGTACCTTTTCATTCACCGTGGCCTGACATACCATGGGAAACGATTCAACAAATATTAAGTCAAAAACCACCACCACCACCTCCACAATCGGAAAATGTATCCGAAATTTCAACGGATTGTAAAAATGGTGATAAATGCGGAGACAGATGTACTATCGAGAAATTTTTATTATATGACACTGTGGTGCACCAAACTTCCTTGTTAAGAGGTCTCGCGCAATCTTTTCAAAAAGAGCCTTATGCATTAGAAATGTTTGGGGCGAAGACATATAGGACGTTATTGGCCTACATATAGACATAGTTACCCTCGGTGCTTTATGACTGCCTTTGATGCGTGTTTAATTATGGCATTCGTTAAAAATCATTTTCCTAAAATGAAACCCGTAGGATTATTACGTGAGTATATTTTTATTTAGATAAAGAGGAAATTGCGATTGTGTAAAAACAGTAAACATTACTTTTTTGCGAATGTACCTATTACAATTCCTATGCGAAAGTGTATTCTAAGTATAAACAGTAGATTCCGATCAAGGTTCTAAATGAGTTATAAGGCACTGAATTATATTTTAATTTAAGTATTATCGATATTACTTTAGGTCACATGCAGAACTCATGTAAGTTAATGGATATTCAGGGTGCTTCATTTAGTATTCTATTCTTATTTCAAAGTATGGTTTTGTAATAATGACCTTTTTATGCATGTATTTTTTGTTTCAATTTTTTTATCTTTAGCTTAAGTAGGTTAAATAAAAAAGGAATTCTTAGTTTTAAAATTACTTTGTTTATCGCCTAATAAAATATTTTTAGGGTCATAAAAATATAATAAGAAATGTTTGTATCTCTCACTAGGCTGTACCTCAGGAAACGTGATAATTAGACATCAATGGTAGCAGTTGAAAGTACCTAAGGTATGAGGTACATACAATAAACAGCACAATACTAATTGTAAATGTAAACGCAGCAGTTTGATTTATTTTTGTGATGCACGTAACGTCATCAATAAAATCTTCGAATTTAAAAGAATTCATATTTTTGGGAAGTTATATGTATACACAATTATACGAGTAATGAGGTGGTAAATCTAATTAACGAAACCGTAGTTAGTGATTTTAAATACTTAATTTCTGTAGCTTGAAATTACAAACATGGATGTGAATGAATAGTTAAGACATTGAATGATTGTGTTTGCGGTAACAGGGTTTAGAGAAAAAAGTCAAAGGTAACTATAGCAATGAAACAGGCATGTTTCATTATTAAGTTTTGAATTTAAAACAATAGATTAACACTGATTGTTATTTGTTACCTTGCCTTTTTTCCAGAGTTTGGCTAGGTATGTAGGGTAAAGAGCAAAACCATAAAACTACGTTGCGATGATACTATATTGACTGGTAGTGGTAAAAATGAATGACTTAGGAAGTAAGGTTGTTCTATATATATATACACGTTTGCTCATCTGTGTATACGATATTATGTCATCTCATCTCATTGTCTAATATGCCCGTGAATTACAGTTTTCTTAGTAGCCTTCAAGTCAATTTCAAGTTTCTACAGTGTTTTTGTATATAAATCTTTGTCAACAATTCAAAAGTAGAACTTAGTTCACATTTTTCAAAAATTGAATGTTATAGTACCTACCTATGTAATAGTAATATTATATACGTATTTAGGTAAGGCATATTTAGATAAAATTTGAATATAAAAAAATGGATGTGCCATTACTAGATCTCTGAAATATTTATTGTAGATAGGTTTTTTCAAGCGATGTTGTGACTGATTTAATTTAATTAATATGTATGTATAGTGAAGCACCTTTACTTCTCAGCTCAAGGCATCTTGATGCAGGTACAAAGTACTTGAAGTAGACAATAGTGTCTTTTGCTGGCTGCTAAGTAAAGGCCTACATACAGGGTGTAAACGAAACGCTTTTAAAAACGGGTTCCAAAAATCTTCAAAAACACAAGTGGTGGTCAAAAACGAGTTTTATTTTCGAAAAGTAAGGAATTAAACGTTTCTTTTGTAAAATAATAGTTATAATCAACTGCTTAAGGCTGAAGTTGCATAAAGAACACGACAACAAAAAAAGAATAAAATTGTAAAAACAAACTTTTTCGTCTGCGTATTTGGAAGCGTTTCGTTTGCACCCTGTGTAATGTGGAAATAATAACTGTGTTCCTAATCTCTGGCTTGCCTTTATTATCTGTCCAGAGTAGACTGGCAAAAGTAGAGCCTCTGCTCCTTGAGTGGGCCAAATTAGGAGTGCTACAGATGTGCCATATTTATGTATTTAATTTAATATTACGTACATTATTGGGTGCTTATATTTAATTTAAAGTACGTACCATGTATAGAAGTATGTAGAAGTAAGAATTAATATTTATAAATTATTTACTAATTATAAGGGGACTGTGTGGCCGTTCCTACCTTGAAATAGTCTTTTTCTAAATGCTGACATAGCAGACAACATAGAAACAACAATTTATTTATTTATTTATAGGACTAGAACGGTACAAAAAACCAATTACACTACTCAACACATATACAATTGAAAGAAATAATACATTTAAAAAATTTAATCATTATTGGATACTATAGTATATAATTAACATTATACCTAAACTTCAGATGATACTAAACTGCAGATCAACTAGAAGTGACGAAAAGGAGCAAAGGATGATATTATATAATAAAGTAGTAACTACGTCTGAAGATGGAAATGAAGATGAAGGAATTGGAAATACCACAAATAATATTTTCATGTAAAATGTGACCAAAACGAGATTACATAGCCCGCACTGTCAAAAAGTATGAAATGTATGAGATCTTAATATGTTCCAGTCAAGTCATCGAGGCAAGTTTCTAATCTTATATATCCAGTCCTAAATCTATAAGCTTACTCTTAAGTTACACTGAAACGCTACAGCCATAGCTCGTAGCGTGTAGTTCGTACCGCGTAGCTCGTAGCGTGTAGCTCGTAGCGCGTAGCAGAGTTTTACGCTAGGAATCACGAAAGTGCGCAAATTGTGAACTTGACCGCACAGGAAGAGTTTATAAACTGTCCATCTTAATCATAATGCACTTTTGGAACGCGCCGAACGATCTTAAGATGTAGCCTACATAAAGATAAAGACAGTACAGACGAATGGAGATAAACGGGATATTCAAAAGAGAGATGGTCACTAACTTGCAAGAGACCAAGAGAGAACGTTACAGTTGAAAACTAGATATTTATAGTATTTATTATACCGAGAAGTCCGAGACGTACCTAATAATGAGTTCCGCAAAGCTAAAGCGAAGTTTAAAATGGTCAGAATAAACTGGAGAAGGCCTACATTCCTACATCCTAGAAGAGGGAAATTATTTTGTTTAAAACAATCGATCCTGAGTTCATACTTCTATACCTGGTAGGTACCTTGTGCTAGCGCTAGCGTGCCTAATTATTTTACTACAAACATTATAGCTACATATCTTTGATCATTGTCTGTATCATAAATATTATGAACATTGAATGTAATATCAACGAATGTATTTTCATTTTGACAATATACTATAGTAGTGTGAAAATGTTGCTTTTATTTCTTTAATACTTACATATGTATTTTATTCCACTGCTCCTTTGAATACGAAATATTGGAAAAAAGGTGATTTAATTCAGCTGTTCACCAGCTTTATGCTTAGCAGTATAGCATTTAGTATTTCGCTCTACACCTGCGTTGGAAACTAAAAATAAATTAACAATTTATTTAGTAGTATTGAACTACCGAAATGCTTTATAATTTTTTTTAAAGACTTAAAATACTAGCAAGTCGCCTCCTAAAGAAAGATTTGCCATGACGGGTTTAGATTTAATCACCTTATATTGAAAACACGTTGACATCGCCTCCACCAATACCTTTGCCAAAGTTTCACCGCTGGTACAGCAGATATCGCAGCCTAATGACTATAGCAGGGGCCAAGCATAATTCAATATTGTACCTGCCTAGTTTTCTGCAGCCAGCATCGCAGGAGTACGGACTGAAGTACCGAATTCAGTCATGGTAAGTAGACAGGCTTATAGCGATTTTAAATTATTGCAAAAGGGTGGATGACTAATTTTTATTTGAATGTCTGTCGGGTAGATTATTTAAAAACATTAGAGTAAAACGGGGTGAATAGAATTCGAGGGGTGAATAGATACAGAAGAGGGGTGAATAAATCTTTGGAAAATATTCTAACATTTGTTCACCCCATTCCTGTGTCTATTCACCCCGTTTTACGGCACTTTTTTTATTTTCTTACGGAAACAAATACTTTTGATGTCATATTGATTTGAAATATCGCGTGAAGTCACTTTTGTGTACGTTTTATACTCAACAATCCTGTAGCTAGCTTCCACTTCTAAACTTGGATTCGTTTTATCTAAGTATTGTTTTCTTATAAAACAAAATAAGAACAAGTACGTGTCTAATATTTTTATTGTCTAACTGAAGGACTAGTTAGATTTTTTATTTTCATACCCTGTTATCATCTCTATTGTTTGCTATTTGCGATTACATAAAATAACAAAATACAATAATATGGCCGTTGCTATATAGTCGTAATCGTAACAGCGGCTGCCGATCTTGTCTTCTTGACTTTGATCTCTGGGTCGATCATAGTATAACAATGGGTTTACAATTTTAAAATTTTCAGTATGTAAAGACGGTGTACAGGACTGTGATTAAACTGTCAATCACCAAGCGGTCACCGGTGACCGCGACCCGTTGTTCTTTAATTGTGTCTATAAAACCGGTACTCGACGAGTTAAGAGACTGGTGAAACCCAAGGACAATTATGGGTCCCTATGTCGTAAAAGAAAAGATACGGATGATAATAATAAAAGATACGGATTAAAAGAGAAAATATTTAAGTTAAATGAAACAAGTTACGATAGACATAGAAAAAAAGTATTTATTTATCATACTATAGACGACAATTTTATCAGGGAAATGAAAAGAAAGTTGTGATAGAAAGTCGTCTTACAGGCGAGAACGGAAAAGAAAACGTACTGTGTTGATCCTAAATAGCTTAGGTTAAGGGTATGAAGACACAAGCCAATATAAATAGGATGACTCTCGTTGATTTTGCTTCAGAGCTAGGTATAGCAGTAAGCTCTTACTTATCAATTTATCAAGAGGACCGGCAATCTACGTCCCGTCTTCAATTGGCGGACAATGACTGACCTTTTAACCGAGGACCCCTTCATAACTCGATGGCCAGTCTGCCCGTTATGCAAGAAGAGGTAAAAATACGAGTATTATTACATTTACTTTCTAGTAAAAATTGCTGTGCGATTTATATACCACACAGAGTACTTTTAAATGTGCGAAGGGAGGTAAGTTCACCTACAACCTACAAGTTAACTTCAGAAGTCCTAGGATTCCAGTTACTGAAGTGATTTAAATAAAATTTTATTCAACATTCAATTGCTCAAAATACGATTCTTCATATATTTGGAATATTTGTTATCTATTTAAATAAATCATACGAAAATTAATTTTTGTCTTTTTTCTGTATTTTTTCGTAATAATCCGTTTCCTACCAAATAACTTCTATCGAAGTAATCAGTGTATTGATTGATAAAATCTAATGTCTCGCTGTCATCCATCAAAGGCAGATCGTTGATCAGTAATTAACATGGAAAAATAATTAAATAGATATGAAATAAATAATTTAAAACGATCATAGATTGTATTTATGTAACAAACAATTCTTGTTTTCATAACTGCTAAGTCTTACTACCTATTAAACTTATTTATGTTTACAATATCTTTTACGTAGGCACACTTCGTAACACTTCAATTAAACTTATACAACTATACTCTGAAATATATTATTTAACAATAGTTTCAACAAATAGTGGAAACGTTTCTCTGTACGATTACTATAATATATTAGATATTAAGTTATGGCTAATACCCTGTCACTCAGCACATAACCTAACGGTAGAGGCAATTTCCATGGCGTAACCAACCACAAAATGAACACAATACAACTTATGTAACATAACTCACAACCCCCACTATAAATTATATGAAACTTAAATAGTTGTAAAAATACATTTAAATAAAATATTCAAGTTAAAACAGATACCTCTCTTACGTTATTGAGATCTTACTCACAGCACACGTATATCGTATTCATATTATTATGATAATATTATGGTAGCATAGCTTTATTTCACTATATAATTAATTTATAATCAACGTACGAACAACCAAAGTAAATAAAGTCTTTAAAAAAATAAATAATATTATGGTCACTAAACAACCGTGTCTAGTCTAACTAAAACGTTTGCATTGAATGAATAGTCTCTCATGGCACCAAGTATATATCACAACACAGCACTTTATAAAAGGCACGTCTTGGCTTAAATCATCGTGTAGTCTTCTTCTTGAACTTCCTTCAGCGCTCTTTTCAGCGAGGCTGGCAGTTCGGGCGTTTTGTATATGGAGTCTGTTATCGGCGGCAGTATCAGAGCACCGGCAGACTTCTCGTAACTAGTGTAGGACAAGTACAACTGTGACACGCAGTTTATCTCATCTTCAGTCATAGCTACAGACCTCAATTGTTTCTTAATGTCTACGTAAATGGAATTTCCACATTTTGAGCAAATCTCTTCGAACAGTGACTTAGGCCGCTTCTTAGAGTTGTGCTTGCAGGGTACAGGCTCCACGAACTTGTACTTCTTGGGTTTCATGGGCTTCTGCGGGCGGTCGTCGCCGCTGTCGGATAGCACGACCAGTTTGTTGGAGACATCGGGCGCGCCGGTGCGCGGCACGAGCTCCCCGCCGCCACTCATTAGGGCCTCGCACAGCTGCTCCGGCGGGTTCTTGAAGTCGTAGTAGATGCACCGGGACTCCGAATTGCTCTTACTGTTGTTCTCGATCTGAAGACTGTATTGCAGACGGATTTTCTTTGGCCTGTTGCTATATTTCAGGTACACGTGTATCGGTATGTCAATGGAGGCACAGCCGGACTCTTGGATTTCGTATGGCGGCTCCTGAAGCACTGCAAAAATAAAGCCGATGTTATTGCTCCGTAAAACAGATATACTGTAAATATAACAGGGGGCAAAGTCACTGAGATAAAACTATAGGTAGCCAGAGGGCTATCTGCGGGAGTGATAATGGTGATGAGAGTTTAAACATGTTATCGTTAGTTTATGTGACGCAGGCAATAAAATGTTATATGACTATAAATATATAAATAACTGGGTATCATTGGGCAGAAATATAAATATATAAGAACCTCATATAAATACTAAATACCATTAAAATAATGATAAATAAGTACATACATACGAGATTTTATTAGCAAATTAGCTAAGTAATCTGGAGACAAAAAATGATTGAGCTTACCTCGTTTAGGATATACAAATGCGGTTGCAGGGTGTAAATGGAAGACGACTTTATGGACGAAGGTGCTGATGTCGTGGCCGCTCACTCCGCGGACCCACACTCGCCAGTCGAGGGCCAGGGCTCGGCCAGAGGGAGTTCTGCGCGGCTCGCACGCGTGTCCCACCTCTAGCCATATGCGCACGCACATCTGTAAGATAAAACATCATTTACACGTGATTATATGTACATATATATCGTAACATCATGTCTCTGAAAGGTGCAGGGTCAAGCAGAGCATTACCGTTGTTTAGTTAATGAACATTCTACGTAAGTATGTAAGTATTTCGATTCAAGCTTAGACAGTGTAAAAAGTTTATGGTTTTAGAATAGAAGTGCACAACTGCACATTGCACATATACATACGGTACTATACATATTGTACCGTACCATCCACTTTTCAGTAGTTATGTCATGAGTCCTATGCAATAGGGGATGGAACAGCCAATATGCTAATGCCAATGCCAATATGCTATAATGCTCCTAATGGTAATAGTGCCCGTTGTGTGCCGGAACGTAGATCTACGCGAGAATTGTGTATTTTCTATTGTGTTTCATATACCGGCACTCAAAAGGTTAAATGTTTCGGATGTTTTTTGGAAAATCGAAAATCCCTAAATTTGTATATTATGACTAGGAGAACATAAATAAGTCATCGAATACAAAATATCTTAACAACACAGTCATACCCATTTGAACGGATTAAATAAATAATAAAAATAATTAGCGCAATATACAAATTGTACAAGATTAATTTTCACAGATAAGTAATGAAGATGCCCACGATATGTTTATTAATACTGTGTATTTTGTAAAATTAGTTGATTATACTCAGATTTTGTCTCGATAGGAGTGTTTTGTATTTGAAAAATTAATTAATTTCAATCAGATATACCGATTGATTACAATTTTACTAAGATATTGCTGTTTTGGGCTTTGTAAAAGGGTTTTTTCCATTTCGAATTTTTGATAGATTTGGGCTGTTTGAATTCCACTAATATTATAAATGTGAAAGTTTCTTTGTTTGGATGTTTGTCCGTCAATCACGCTGAGACTATTGAACGGATTTTGATGAAATTTGGTATAAAGTCTGCGTATGGGCTAACTTAGTTATGCGATACACTTTATATCCCGATTAAATGCTGCCATGGGATAAAACTGGAATCATATTCTACGCGGACCAAGTTGCGGGCAACGGCTAGTTCTAATAAGATTATAGGTAGTAAGTGAATCTACAGCGAGTTATACATGTATTCTGACTAATCAAAATTCCGAAGGTTTAAGAACTTTTCATATAAATATTTTTAAATTAGATTCTATAGATCCGTGAAACATGAAAATCCATTAAAACTCAGTGAACTTAAAAATAAAGTAAATGGATTTTACATTTGTTTTTTTGCATTACCGTAGGGTTCTATCCCTAAACTTGTTTTACATTACGGCCGTCTAATCATTTAAGTATTATTTTATAAATATTATTATTAAGTATTCAAGCATTCCATTCTTCATTTTTCTTTACAAACTGAAGACGGTAAACTGAGGACTAAAGATTGTCTCAATGACAATTCAACAATCAAGTTACATTTCCGATTCTAGTCTGCTTTGATTTAGAATAGTTGGCTGAATTTCTGCAAGTTAAAGAAACATACCAAAGCAGAACAAATTATCGACGCATCATCATACTGGTAAAGTAAAGGTAATTTACCTTTACCTCGATAGTTTTCACACGGTATCATAAAGACAAAACTATTTAATTTTGAAGGTATAAATACTATAAATATGTCGGTCGTCAAGGCCGTTGAGTCTGTTTCATTGTTTAGTAGTTTAGCCATGAAAGCGTAACAGGGAGACACTTCCTTATGTACGTGTATCTTACTTGCTTAGATTGTGGTTCAATACTGGTTAATACAACATTCTATCGAGTACTTTAAACCTTCAGTTGCGTTTTTTTTTATAGCATAAGCCGGTAAACGAGCAGACGGATCACCTGACTGTAAGCAATCGGCGCCGCCCATGGACATTCGAAACACCAAGGCGTTACAAGTGCGTTACCGGCCTTTTGGGAATTGGGAATTTGAGGATTGTGGATGATTCGGGGATTCAGGAGATGGTGACTAGGAACGGGGACTAGGGAATTGGGCCTCCGGTAACTTCACTCACACGACGAAACACAACGCAAGCGTTGTTTCACGTCGATTTTCTGTGAGGCCGTGGTATCACTCCGGTCGAGCCGGCCCATTCGTGCCGGAGCATGGCTCTCCCACCCTTATGTGTTTGTCATTTACTAGATATGAACATCTAAAACATGATGTTACAGTCAGAAACCTCAATAATCTCACAATATAGACTTATTGTGAGAGTAACTTGAAAAAGGAAAAATTTGTTGGGAAAAGGCCGAGAGAAAGAAAACATGTATCATTACTTATTAACTTTCAGTCTGCTCAAGTAGCGTACGTAGACTGAAAGGTTTGTCACCAGACTCAGACCAGACCATAATACCTTACCTCTGTCGTTAAGGAGAATTAATCTCAAAAGTCAATATACTTGTACGACTTAATAAGTTTCTATATAATCCTTTGTCTTTAATTGTAAACTGGCTGATAATATCAATATGTTTCCTGGGAAAATTCGTCATTAATTCTAGGCTATTCACCTAATACTTTGTTACCTGCCAACTTTTGTGTACGTTTAACCGAGTTAGTAATTCAAGGACTGATTATAATCATTGATATTAATCAAATTAAAAATTAGTCAAAAGTCTCAAAGTCAAGGAAGTGGCAGGATGAACTTGACTTGTTCTACAAGGACTGGTCGCAGGAAGCGTTGCGAAGAGAGGAATTGAAGGAGGTTACAGAGGCCTGCAAGGGACCTGATGATCACAGCTGTTAATAACCTATATAGTAACTGAGGACTGCCCTTGATTGCATTTGGATAGTGCGTACAGGGATACTCGATTTGTGTTTCAATCCATTTCGATTAAAATTGTTTAAAAAGCATGCATGTATTCGGTTCTTCGCACAACTTCCAAACAATCAGCTAGAGTATTCTGTAACTATTAATTCGAACTTTCGAAGTGAACTAGAACGTATTTTCGCCCATCATTGCAATTGCATATAATATTAAAAAATAATCACACTTTCCTTAGTTGATTTTATGACTAACTTAATTTTAGTATTTTTCCAGCAAAATTTTTAACAAATAAGTATGCTGTTAGAATGTAAAAAAACGTGACGTCACAATACACAATCTCATACAAAATTCATAGAAAACTGTCGTTTTGACAGTTCGAAAAAAGTATTGCAATTTTCTAGTTGGCAAGTTCCCAATTGGTCAAGAAGATTATTCTTACGACCAATGACATGGCGAAGGGCGTTCTAGTTCTTCGAATCTTTCGAATTAAATAAAAAAGCTAACAGAACCCTGTGATTCCGTGAATGGTATAATCATAATAATACTTTTTTTTTCTTCTTTGGCAACCGAGTCTCCAAAATGGTGTTGTCGACTATACTGCCAGTGTCGAGTATATTAATACTTAATATTTATTGAAAGTGAAACTGAAGTTGGTACGAAGTGAAGTATGTGCGGGCAAATATAGGACATTTATTACATTGCCCTTGTCCTTTATAGATAAGCGGTCAAGAAATAGACGCACGCGTTATTATCTTCACAATGAGTTTCTATTAACTCCATTAAGATTGTTCTGACGTTCGTAGATATGAATACTATGATACTTATTATGTAGCTATACAAATACAGCACGTATTTAGTTACACGTAGAAATGATTTCACGAGACGCATTAATTTTATTGATACCAGTTCATTGAATGATTAGAATTAATTAGGACCCGATTCGAGTTTATTAAAATGAGAACGATGTTTTACTTTAATGATAAGAGAAGAAAAGTACTAAAATAGCCATTTTCCTTAAACGAATTTCAATAGTAAAGACTTACCAAGTTACTTAACCGAGTTCTTAACAATTGAACAAAAACACAAATTTGATTTTGATTAGATTGAACAAAACTGTTACCAAGGAATAGTTTAAGTTATCATTAGATATCTCTGAGTACGGCTGTTAGGTTTATTATTTATTTATTTTGTTACCTATTTACTACAAGTTGCGATCTATCGCGGCATGGTACCTATTACTACATGTTTGTTGATCACTCACGCGCATCACCTCGACGAGAACAGTGGCCGCGTATTGCACGAGTTTTCTCTACTTTTCCAACTTCGTAGTACTCTTTATTCGCTTGTTATGACGACAATAAAATAATTATTCATAGTATAGAAGTAAATAAACAGCTAAGTATTGTTTTAATTATACCATTAAATCTACAGCGAAATGGTAAGAAGTTATTGGTAATTTGCACAAAACGAGACATAACATATCATGCCTTTTATCCCTGAAGGGGTAGGTAGAGGTTGCACTTAATGCCACTGTACAATGTTACACCTACTTTTCACTATGTTATGAGTTCCATGTAATAGCCATATACCGAGCACAATTCAAGACTCCGTGCTACTACTGAATTTTTGCTCAACAAGACAATAAGGAGATAAAAAAATCTCGTAAAAATGTTATTAGTTTTTCAATAAGTTGTTGTATAAGAAACTCAGATATAACTAGATCCAAACTAAGGTTTACAAAATAGAAAAAAATATTAATCCTTAAATAAAGAAAAAAAATACAAAGAATCGACCGTTCTATTGGATAAGAAAAACCCAAGTATGGCGTGTGAATTGTGCCAAAAACAACGAAGATTACGTCAATTTAGCACCGTGGCGGCCTTGGCCATGAATAGAGACTGGTTCGCAGCCGACGTCGGCCGTATCACACAGTAACGTTCATCAGTACTACATTACCAATTCGAAAGTAAAATCTGCTTCCTCATTATGATCAAATAATAAATAGCATGACATCGCGAATGATGTAGTCTGAACTCTAAAGTAAATTAATGCTACCAATATTGTAAATTAATGCTACTAATATTGTAAATTAATGCTACCAATATTATAAATAAAGTCCCAAGTGCGACTGTTGGGCAAGGGATCTCGGGTTCAATTCCCGGGTCGGGCAAAGTATTAATGGGTTTTTAAAAATCTCGGTAGTAGCACGGAGTCTAGGATTGTGCCCGGTATATGGCAATA